CTCGTGGTGCTCGCTGTTCCAACACCATTCCACATCCTTGTAAGGAGATCCGACAAAAAATGGTCTAGCCACTTCCGCATAGTTGTGGCTATACTTGTCCAAGTAATTTGCCAAGCCCAACCACTTGCGGGGGTCGTTTTGGTTCCTCGGAACCGGCCAATCCACTATGTCTTTGACCTTAACAGGGTCTGCTCGGATTCCTCGCTTCCCAATGAAGCATCCCAAAAAGGGAATTTCTTCCGCACCGAAGATGCATTGTCAATATATTGTTATACAAATTATACATCCTCATGCAACCAAGCACAGCTCGCAGGTGCTCGATGTGATTCTCCACATCAGTCTTGCCATTTACGGCTCGACTATGGACGAATATATCGTCAAAGTATGTCTGTGTATAAGCCCTATGGGACCGAAACAACTGTGTCACTAGACGATTGAACATTGCGAGTGCGTTAGACAGCCCTTGGGACATCACTAACCACTCCTAGAGTATACCGCTCGAGGTGCTGACGGCTGTCAGCGGGATATCACTAGCTCGCATGATCAGTTGGCAATATCCATCGACTAGGTCGAGGGCACTGTACATCATACATCCCACCATATTGTTCTGAAGAACATCCTTGCGAGGAATCAATATTTGAGCCGGGATAGTGGCTGCATTCAAACTAATGTAAGCATGCACTATTCGCCACTTCCCATTAGTCTTTCTCAAACAAAACTTGGGCGTAGAGTGAGGAGACTTACTCTCACCCACCATGCCAGCCGCGTGCTTTGCACGAAAGATCTCGTCAACGACGTCGCACTGTTCTCGTGGCAGCGGACACTGTTGCGTCAAACAATATTTGGTTCCTGGAACCAAGTCCATCTCATGACGTACACCTCTATCCAGAGGTAACCTCGTCGGAGATTCTCTGGAGACAACATATCCATAATCCTTTAACAAAGGAAAATAAGGATCCGAAGGCTCTTTCAGTATCTGTGATCCACTACGCGCATTCAGCGCCTTTTTGTTATCCTCAAGTACTGCTTTATCTAAAAGCGATGAGAAGTTTAAGTCCTCCTCAGGTTGTATAACGACCACTTCGGCGATGTCGCCTGCCTGTAAGGCACTGCCAAACTCGGCAAAGGACAACTCGTCCAGCTCTAACAGATCACTTACTGCGGGTATAGATGAAAGATCCACCGACTCTTCAACATCCCCAGCCAAACCATTGACGAGTGTACATAGCTGCTCGATATCATCATCACTCACAATATCATCATCGCTACTCATGATGCTCTCAGCATCCGACACATCAGCGTCCACATGTGTACACACCTCAAGGTCAAAGACCACTTCGTTTCTGACTGACCCCGCCCTCTTAGGTCAATGCCTCGCCATCAGTTATTTGTACCTCAATGTCCTCAAAGACAACCGTCATACTTGACTTCGCCCAACCCTCTTGGGCCAGTACCTCGTGACTAGGTGCTTGCACCTAGCTATCCTCAAAGACAACATTCATTTTTGACTTCGCCCAACCCTCATGGGCCAGTACTTCGTCACTAGGTGCTTGCACCTCGTTATCCTCAAACATAACATCCATTGATGACTTCACTTGACCCTCTTGGGTCAGTACCTCGTCTCTAGGTGCATGCACCTCGTTGTCCTCAAAGATAACATCCATTGATGACTTCACTCAGCCCTCCAGGGTCGGTTCCTCGTCACCCATGTCACTTGAACTCATGCCCTGACATCCTGGCTTGCAGCCACCAACACTACTCACGGTGTTTGATGATGTAACATGACACATGTCATATGTGGGTTCTCAACGACACTATCGACAGTCTTTGGGCCTCGCCCAGGACTATTGTCCTCGATACTTACAGTGTCTACAAAGTCGGATATCCCGACATCCAACATATTGACCGACTCGGTCCAATATCCGCGCCAAAAGCGCTTTTGGTTCCTAGCAGAGGCGAGTTCATGACTCTCCAGAGCCCCGCCAGGAGCATTGCGCGTTGCGCCTAAGGTCTTCGACCTCCAATCAGTCCATGGCTCATGACGTTCTAGCCATGCCATGCCTAGGATGAGGTCATACCTTGCATCCAGGTCTAAGACCAAACAGCGTTACATGCTGTTAAAGTCCAAGAACTTTACATTAACTCCATCGGGACTTTGGGTACCGTAACACGCGTACCCGTCGCTAAGCGAACTGTGACTGTGTCACTTTCACGCACTACAAGCGCTTCAGCACACTGGTCCCTCCTACCTTCCACGGTGGCACGGCGCACATAATTGCCCGATGCCCCGAATCGATCAAAATGATCCATGGCTTATCATAGCCCTTAATCGTCCCTTCAACGACTAGCAAGCCTGACTTGCATTCTCGTTCCGTTTTTGAGAGTTCGGATCTCTTTAGGGCTGGGCCCTGTTTACTTTTACCTCCTAGAGGTTCAACAGAACTCAGTTCTTCCCTAGTAGGGCGCCCCGCGCCTACCGGGCTCCGCCGTTTCCCCGCGGCAACCAGAGGGTTTTTACATGAGGCGTCGGCCCTTCGAGGCCAAATATGCCTTTCAGGCAGGACATTTTGCCATCAAATGGCCTGTGCTCTTGCAGATAAAACATCTGCGCTCAATTTGCTGCTCCGCAGCATGAAGCTCCGCTTCTTCATCCTCCGCTTGACTACAGTCTATGGATACAGACCCATCAGACGAGTAGTTATAAGTGGCAGGCCTAGCGGTCTTAAAGTTGGTCTCGGCATTCCATGCCTCTCCAACAGCTACCTCGAGCGAGGACGCTTATACACGGAAAACTTCCGTTCTGGCAACGCTCTCGATGGCCTTCCATAAAGACCGTGACGGTCACTGCCTCAGGCAGAGTGTCTATGACCATGGCAGCAATACGAGTTCTCAACTCTTGTACATATGCCGCAAGCTCACGCTTGCCTTGGCGACACGCCAAAAACCGCGATCGATTACGTGAGCTTGGTTTGACGGTGCATACTGCCGGGTCATCTGAACTTTCAGATCGGCCCATGTGGGAAATGCGTCTTGCCGTGATGCACCACATGTGAATGCCCACTGATTGTCTAAACCACCTAACTTGCCCGTGGCAAAGCCCACACGATCAGTTCATAGGTGATGTCGGCTATAAACATAGCCGACTCTACCTGTCGGAGCCAAAGCTTAAGGTTGTCACCTTCTCTGCCGTCGAACTTATCGACTTCCATTTGTATGAGATTTGGTCTGCGGATCACTTCTTGCGCCATAGTCGCCATAGGCGAAGGCGCAGAAGAGGCATTTGTGCATTTGCATGCTCGACTAGAGCTTTGTTATATTCATCAAGCATATGAATACGCTTGTTAACCTCTTCGTCGCCCTGGGCGATGAGGACGCCCTTAGGGCCAAGGATAGGGAGCAGCTTCTGCAAGCCTTCCTGTTATGCCTGTGCTGTGACAGGCCAACCGCTGACATCTCATCGATGTCCATTCTCACACAGAGAAGTAGTCGCAAGCCCAGGTGCGGGATTGACTACGAGTGCTACCAGGTGCAGCCGAGCTACTGTAGCCAAGCTACGTATGCACTATGTGCAGAGGAAGACAAGCTCAGAAAGCTTCTACGTCTTAGGGTGCTTAATTCTTACTAGGCTACCTCGCAAGCTTATGCCTATCGGTTGTTATAACCGTGTCTCAGAGAGACTAGTATCAACGATACAATTCGTCAGGAGGAATAGAACGCTCTAGCAACTAGTGCTATACAGAGCAGGTTTGAAACTGATTTATATTTATGTTTATCTTCTAACACTAAATATAGAAGCGCTTACTTTATACTTAGTGCTAGTCACTATTTACTGGCTCTTTAGCCTTTTATGGTTATGTAAATGTGCATAGTCACTAAACTTTAAATGAGTATAGTGACCACGTGGCTCTCTGACACGATGCAACTCTTCGTACTTCAGGTACGGTCACATGACCTACTTTTGTACCCAAGGTACAGCCACACCACATTGGTGTGGCAGGTGTGTATGTACAACATGTTACATTATATGCTACCTCCTTCAATTTTTTTCAACATGTACTACATGCTATTTTACCTAATGTAGAAGCACGATAAATGTGCCCGAACGCAAAGGCTTAGCGCCTTCTTGAGCTTAGCAAGCGTTTATTAGCGTGCGCACTCTGAGCTCGTCCACGATCAGTCAAGTCTCTCCCGTTCCACGCACCTTTGCCTTTCCTTCGTGGACCAGCATCTGAACAAAGTCACAATCATCTACACGTCGCGGTTGCTGACAAGGGACACACAGTATTGAGCAAATGATGCTTGCGACACACAGCAAAGTATGGACATTATAACATAAAAGTGACATCAGATTCATGGCAGATGTCATCTCTCGACTGTCGATGGAATGCTATCCGTTATAGTAATTGTTTTACAAAATGAGCAATAGAGAACAGAAAACGAGTTATGAAATGAGACCAGCTTGTATTGCAAATTTCCCCTGAATAGAGGAAATACTAGTATCATACTTCTAGCTAAATAAGTGTACTGGGCAAGAGATAATGGCTGAGTACGGTCACACTAGAGGAAGCTCGATGATCAATCAATACTAGTATCATACTTCTAGCTAAATAAGTGTACTGGGCAACATCAATAGTTCATACTCTGACATAATGGCGGAGTCCGGTCACACTAGAGGAAGCTCGATGAGCAATCACACCCGTTGAGGGTGTCTAGGGATTTGTGAACCAGACTGGAAAGGGTGGGGGGGTTATCTGATAAGGACTTTTACTTTGATCCTGGCGAGGGGAATTCTCCCGTCCAAAGACATTGGTCTTAGCACCCAGGCATTAATCTTGTCGTTGGCATCACGGTGTCCATTGGTTTGTCCAAGAAGAGCGGCTGCAACAAAGACCGAGAAGATTCAGTTGAGTTGCATTCTCGATAGTCGTTCCGTAGAGTACGAGCGACGAGAAGGTTGATGGTCTTGCTATGAGCTTGATGCAAATGAAGCAATTTGTAGAATGAGGAATGAGAAGAAGTATTTGACGGAATAACAATTTGCATTAGTTTTACCAGATAGTTGCGTCAGTCCACAAACGTTTATATCATTCCACGAACAATTTTCTTTAAAAATCGTGCTCCAAAACATGTGTTCTTGAACCACGGATTTAGCATAGGGTGAAGTATTGGAGCCCATACCAGTTTAACTTGCACTTTCAACAAGTAAATAATAAGAGCACAAACTATTTTCTGAGCTAGCTGTTGGCTTGCGCAATGATAACCCAATCTACCAAACCATCTGCGTGGGGAAACTACAACGCTAGAGAACGATTTAGGAATCGCTAGTGACTGCGGTATTTGATAAGTTTAGCTGCAGCGCGCTTCGTGTAATCAGGTGAGCTGATGTAGTTGTATAAGGCTTGGTCTTTTGTCATTTACAGATCAACGAACAATATATTATTTATCTATGGTCAGGCACGTTAGCATATAAATACTGCGTTATAAACATGCCAACAATAATACCCGCGCCATCCGGATATGAATCTCAAGGTTCTAAGCTGTATCCACTTGTCTCATCTTGGAGATACTTGACAACACTTCTAAATTATCATGCCCTATGGAAGATGAGGATGCACATTTTCTGTGGCTGGGTAGCATCAAACATTGCTTTTTTGTAAATTAATGTCAGTCCCATCCTTCCTTCCGCGCCGGCCGGGTTACGATAAACGATCACTAAATCTGCATGTCTGATTGGTCAATATATCAGCACCATCGGATCAGACTGTTTGGTTGGAACGAAAAGTCGAGACCGGAATTTTGGATTAAATGGCCTATGGTGGCAATTGAATGCTAGGTAGCATATCACGAAGCTTTAGGCGCAAAGGACCGGGCAACCTGGCCGCCAAGGCTTCATCAAGTACGACAACAACTGGTTTTATACACGGTATATCATATTCAACACCTATAGAAAAACGCTTCGTCAAGCCGTCTCTGACCTAGACGTGAGCGAGCAGGAGACACAGGACGAAGCGATAGTGACGTGTTACAACGGTGTGACTAGAGTGGCGAGACGCAAGACGCGAGAGATCGCAGACAACTTGCAGGACAGTATCATATCCAGGATATCAACTGTGAAAGTACTCTATGATAAGGGGTTTATTACAGAGGATGAGTATGAACGGTGCGTTATTTTTTTGGCAACCAAAATGCAGGGTTTATGGGTAGGATCTAGGTCTTGACGAGGACTGTTCTTGGGACTAAGCAGACGGAAAGGAGCTATTGTAGATGAACTTACGTTCTCGACATTCGAACCTACGTCAAGTATGCAAGATACAGTCACACAAAGGAGACGTATGTCGTTTCAACGAAGTAAAGGTGCGCAGATTGTGCATGACACTCAGCTTTAACTTGGTGCTATAAATGAGAAAAAAAATTGACTCAAGGGAGCGCTGTGCTGTATTTATCTTTTTTTTATGTCCTGGCAAGATTTAAAGGCCTACTTGTAGGAGATTGGGTCGACCTATCCATGGAGACTACTCACTCTATCGTACATATAAACGTAATTAAAATCAGAGTGCCGCCAGTCATGTCACTACCCGAGTCTCAAGAACTTGATCAGCAACCAAAACAGGTAGTCTGGTGTGAACAGGATTTGTGTACCTGGCTTGCCATTGATCGTGCCGCACGCTCCTGACTTTCGTGAAATGAGCCCGGAGCTGGCAGTTAAGCATGTGTTTAACTATGCCACTCGCCAGTGGAGCAGCGTGAAGGTGTACATCAATCTGGGCGAAACACCTTTTAGCAAAGGAAGTCTGCGGATTGTATACCACTTACAAGACCTGAGCGCGGAGGGCTCGGCTAGCTTGTCCAATAATGGCTGCTACACAGGCAGCTATGTGGCAAAACTCGCTATTGACCCAGATGAAGACCCACAGACATACTTCAAGGATATAGAGCTGCAGGCCCACTGCGCACACTATGCTCAAGTGTACAACTCATACACACCGCCAAAACGTGTTGGGTTTATCCCTGCATGGGTGTTAGAGCTCCCCGAACGAGATGGTGCACTTTGCGCTGTGGAGGCCTACATCCCAGGCGAGTACCGCAAACACAACAACAACTTTGGTTCCGTAAGCGATGACGAGCGTAACACACCACAGGCCTTTTCGCACTTCACATACGAGGCCTCAAATCATGAGTTGCTCGCCGTGGACATTCAAGGCGTAGGTGATTTATATACAGACCCGCAAATCCATACACTCAACGGACACGACTTTGGCAAAGGCAATCTTGGAGTGTTAGGCTTCCAGAAATTCCTCTCATCGCATCGATGCAACTCCATTTGTCGCTATCTTAAGCTTCCACCTGTGAATCCAAAGGCTCGTCACGCTGACTCCGGCACTCTACCCGTACAGGAACTGATGAATCGCGACCGCGTACGGCCAACGCATTTTGACTCGCGACACTACTACGAGAACGCGCCTATGCTACAGAAGTACGTGATGCAGTGCCGTGAAGTGGATAGCCACGTATCCTCCGCATCGTCTTCCACTTGCTCCATGCAATCTCGCAAACACCGCAGTTGCTACGCATCTGGCTTCGCTCTCTTCTGTAAAGCACTATTTTGTGGAGGCTTGTAACTTCTTGGCAGTACGTGCACACCTTCCAACCTGCTTACCAAAGGACCTATAATCTTCACACCTTTTCTGTAGCTTGAAATCCGTTAGCGAACGTATAAAGCGAATGCAAGCACCTCCATTTCTAAACTCGGGAGACTGTTAAAGTGCCTACCTGGTCAACTACATTTTACAGCCTTACGCCGCCTTCTCACCATACACAGCCTCACTCACCAGCTCAAACAGAGTGTCACCAAAGGTTTCGAGCGAGAAAAACTTCTGAGCACGTCGTATACCGCGAACGCCCATCTCAATGACTCGAGAATTGTGTTGGGGTCCGCAAAGGCCTGCCATGGCCTCGGCAAACGCCTCCGGCTTCTGCTCGCACAAGAATCCTGTTTCACCGTCGACTATGGACTCCAATGGACCACCGGAGCATACTGCAATGACGGGGGTACCGCATGCCATAGCCTCGATGGGGACGATGCCAAAGTGCTTGCGGTCGGGTGTGTACAGGATGGCGTGAGCTTTGCGTAGCAGCTCGAGCTTCATCGACTTCGAGATCGACGTCAGGAATTCCACGTGTTCCTCTAGATTGAGCTTGGCCACCGCATCTTGCAGCTCAATGAGATGCTCTTGGTTTTCCGTGTTGAGCGGGTCGTATCCTCCAGCTACGACGACTTTAACAGACTAAAATTCTTCACGAGACAGTCTGTTGCGCAACGCTGCGAGTGTTTCAATCGCCAAAGCCACATTCTTCTTCCGCTCAAAACGATTCAACGATACAAAAAGACCTGAATCACGCTGTACGCTCTCCCCAGCTGTGACTCCATAAGCATTTATATCTCTTATGCATGTTAAAAGCGATTCAAGCCACAAAGGCTTTATTTGCTCAGTTTGGTGGATAGAGAACTTCCACCTTTTTCGACTGTAGACGTAGGAAACCTCCTGAAAGACCCCCCGCGAAAACTTGCTGTTAGCAACGACAATGTCTTGGTGACTTCCTCGGGATACGCTTACAGGGCGAGGTTGAGTAAACGCAGAAGAGTTTGTCCGGGAAGTAGCCGTACAAAAGCATAGGGGTTGCTCAAAGCACGCAAGAAGGGGACGGAGATTGACACTTTGGCCACTACAAACACGTCCAGGTCGTCAATATGATACAATGCTACACAAAGAGTTTCATAAAAGTACACAAACCCTTCTTTGTTGCCTTCTTTGTAAAACATATCTTGCTTTCTCTTAGAGTAGCGGTACTTGCATGATAAAAGCTCGGTGCCGAAAGTCTAAAGTTTGGAGAAAGTGCAAAAGGTTGCTTATTGGAGAAGCAAAGTTTATCTTCGGCAATGCGAGCAGTCATCATATGTGTTTCTCGTATCACTTTACTGTTCGACATTTATACCATCAAATAGCGTTTTCAGCTGGATGGTACACCTAGCATGCATGCGCTGGTGTGCTTTTCCAGCATACTGAGCGTTTAGATGAAGCACGAGGCAAGGCTGCTTGCTATGAAATCCGAAACTACTTGTCTAGCTACGTTTTGTGTAGCTAATACGACCAGCAAGCGCTTTTTGCATACAGGCTCGCTTTTTGTTTAACTGACAGTGTTCAGCTTCTGTCGGTCGACCGAAGCATATTAAAACAACCGGACAATTACTTGTTGATATTGTAGCATCGGAGTGACTGCATCCGATAGCGCTCTCGTCATCAAAAAGTCTGTATTTCATCTCAATTGGACGTACTGTTGTAGAGCTTGACAATCAGCAACAGAGCAATAGCTTTTTCTTCGCAATGTTTGGATAGTGAGTGATACATCAAAGACAATATTTTGGCAATGGATGTTTCGCAGACAATGAACCCTTTTTATGATATCGTGAGTAGGAGGAAATTTAACTTTTATGCATTTTTCATTTTAGCTTTTTTCATACTTAAACTATGCACGTGCGCTCATGTTTTTAAGTAACACCTTTTATTTATTCACTAAGCGAAACCACTAGAGCTTGCGTAAGCAACGCAAAGAGCCAAAAGATAATACGTGATACCAGCTGTGACGTTTGGTTTTACGTCTGGCCACTACAGAACGCGCAGCGATTAAGGGTTGGGTGGTGATGCAGCAGTTCTGTCACACGATATATGTAAACGAGACTTAGCCACATGGTTAGCTAACCAACTGTAGACGCTTAATTACTAAATCCAGATTCGAAACTGACCAAAGCCTCAAAGAAAACATGTTTGTAATCACGCTGCGCCCTTAATTTAGAAATGTCTCACTTCATGGATTTAGTACGTGTTTATATTATGGATGCAATTAGCAGTGTAAATGTTTATGTGCATTTGATTGCAAAGGCAAATCTTGGCTGCTCGAGGGTGAACTGGCGAGGACGAAGAACGAGCGGCAAAGACAGGCGAGCTATCAAGACATTATTGCCATCACAAAAGCATTAGCACAAAAAAAAATACTCTTCGCATACTTATCAGAAACGTGAAAACCATACTAATGTACTATACTTTGAATTATAAGTACAAGCTATAAATTGTGGTGGTGCTTGTTCTTGTTTCTAAAAGATCATGTAAGGTAAGGTTTCTCTATCTGATCCTAGGTAAGAAGTAAACAAGCACTTTCTTGAGACGAAGTCTCTTTTTTTCTTTAATCGAAAGTCCATTTGGAACCGGTCAACATATTCTGCCCAATCAGATCTAGAGCGTCTGATGTTCTTCCCATCCCTTTTCGATCGTTCTGTACGCTCTCAGTTTCGGTTTAGCAAAAGTTTCTCAAGTGACCGACTGCGTCAGCAAACAAACAGGTAGCGCCTTGGAGCTACAATATCGCATATACACAAGTCTTCGTAACAATTACTACAAGAAACGTCATCACAAGATGCCTTTAGGTGAAAAACTTGGTCGTCCGTTCGAGATGCTGTCACTCATTGGCCGCAAACGCAAGGACGAGTCAGCTGAACCCCATCATCGCCTCTGTGGCGCCGAGATGCGCGCTTATTCCAATGCTACAGGCTTTTTCTCCGCAGGCTATACGCAAAGCTATAGTAACAGACAAAGCACAACCACAACCACAGCCACAGCCATCGCATCAGTACTGGCAGTAATTTCTACCCTGGGGTTAAGTACGAACGTCTCACTTCAGTCCCACGGTCGGCCCCAGTCGTGCAGTACGAACGTCTCACTCCAGGCTCCGATCCAGATACAGCAATATCTTCTTCGGTATCATCTGCTGCTTCTACGATTGGTTCTACAATCACCCATCCGTCGCCACTAGACTACGAGGTTGCCGCACGTGAAGCAGCCTTTCCCAGCCCTGATTTAGTGCCATCCGCGACCGTTGCCTCCAGCTCCTTTCGCACAGTGCCATCGCCTTCCTTGTCATCTCTACCCTCTCCAGGAATGCTCACACCTGCGGTTGGAATGACGCCGAATCCGGTTGGACGCAGCCCTGTTGTTGATACGATTCGGGTACGTCCGCCACGCAATTTAGCAAGCCCGGCTCAGCCTTCGGTCGGACCCGCGGGAGCACTTTCCGCGCCTTTTTCGTCTGTGATGGAGGAGTGGATGAGTCAGCTGAGAACACCAACACCAGACGTGACGCTATTGCCGTCGCCCTATGACTTCAACAAGGACACACCTACACCCATGGATACCAACAGTATGGATCTCCGACGACTACGCGACGCGCTATTACCTACGCCCCCACCGGATATACATGACCAACGAGGACAACACCCTAAGAACTCGGCATATGTGACTACACGTGGGCCTCGCCCACTGCTGGAGGACATTGCGTCCTTGTGCCGCGATTTGAACTCGCAGGATCTTTCAGCTGCCAATAAAGGATTGCCGTCGTCTAGTGGTCACAAAGAAACCGAGTACACTTCGCCTCCGGCTAGGTCGCTGCGTCGCGAAGAAAATACTGGCTGTACGTATTTGGATGATGGCGAGAGTCGAGCCAGTATGCTGGCAGCAGCTGCCGCACTCAGCAGTGTTTCGTCGATGGGGATGTCTAGTACTCCAACTTCCGCCAGCTCCAACTCGGGTAATAAGGGTAAGCGGCGCAAGATGTGCACAGCTGAAGGCTGTCAAAATCTGTCGCGTTCTCGAGGATTGTGCAAGGCTCATGGAGGAGGCAGGCGATGCAGTATTGATGGCTGTTCGCGTGCTAGCCAGAGTGGCAGTTTATGCATCACTCATGGGGGTGGAAAGCGCTGTACAGTGGATGGATGTGCGAAGGCAGCGCAATCGCGCGGCATGTGCAAGGCTCATGGAGGCGGTGTGCGGTGCCGTGTAGAAGGTTGCACTAAGAGCTCGCAGGGCGATGGTTTTTGTCGCTCACATGGCGGTGGTCGACGTTGCGGCCACCCGGGCGGTTGCTTCAAATGGGCCCAGCGTAACGGGATGTGCATGGCTCATAGCGAGGGAAAGTACGGCAACAGTTATCGTGGCCGCCAATACCGGATGGAGAATGGCGAGCCTGTAGATCAGCAGACTTGAATTGAACAAACGCGACTGTGACGAGTTACAGCGCTTAAGTTAGCAGCTACATAGGTCTGTCAGCGACTCAACTAAGGCGCTCTCACTGAGGAATGCTGAAAGCGGTGAGACCTTCCTTGCAGGGGAGCATGTTGCTTACGAACGAAGTAACTCACCGCCCAATGGACTTGTGCCGATTGTTTTATGTATATCGCATCCGTCCCTTAGTCCATTTGCGGCGTCTAGAGTATATGTTACACTAACGCCCAGCACGTGACGTTAAGATAAGAGTGAAAAAGCGAGCAACTATGAACACTGAAATGGAGACGGCCTACATGACACAAGATCCGCCCGCCTCAGGTGATCTGTTTGTATATGATAAAGCTACAGCACGCACGTAACTGAGGTATCTACATATCAGTATCAGTCGCTCTTGCACTGATGGCAGACCACGCATAGACCAGCACATGGTTCTAGCTATCTATTTCAAATTACTCACGCGTGATAATTTAGCGCGATCGAGCGCACAGACGCACTACAAGTGCCAATGTTGTCAACTATCCCCATTTAAATAATATACAAATTTAAATGGTTTAAGCTGGTGCTAGGGCGACGGCATTGCCCAAGTCAGCTTCCTTGAGTTTTATGATATCGTCTTTCTGCTGCAAGGGTAAAGTTACGCGTTTTTTGATGCACGCTCTCACTAATATAATGAGCCAAGTTACATGGTGATCCAATAAACGCCAAGAACACAAGAAGCAACAAAAGCAAATAACAACGTACACTCGGTGAAGGCAAAATTTGCAGTCCCGACCATGACAGATCCTTGGGATTAACTTTTTGGTTTCAACGCAACACAAATTGTTTTATTTGAGCGTTTTTGCTTGGTCATGTTGAAAGCTTCACCTTAAGCTTGATCCAAAACTACGACCATTGGTGGTGCATAAGACAATCAAACCTGCCTTCAGTCCGTTCAACATCACGACGTCGACATATTGCGCTGTTTGCTTGTTTTCCATCAATCCTGCGCTGACAAGACTGTCAAGCTTTGATAGCTTTTTTCGATGACTCTTATGGTAAGCGTTATCACAACTCATGTTTGAGATGCTTACCGAGGTAGGAGAGACAATGTTTGTATACCTCATGAATGGAAACACTTCTATCGCCAACAACAACTTGTAAAAAACCACTGAGTTTATTGCTTCATAAATATTACTCATTGCTGCTCTCTGATCAACTTTCTTTCAATGCTATCACACCCATTCAACAACAGTGGCTTTGGCGCGCACAATACCTCGTAGCTCGCAGCCTCGAAACGTTTTTTCCACACGAAAACAGATTCAAAAAGCACTCTTACGCCCAAGCCTGCTGCTGGCGGTAGACTTTTGCCTGCGAAAGCATTTCCTGCAGCAGGTACCGCTGGTGAGCTATCGAGTCCTCCACAGCTTCGACCGTCGACACCGATCGACTCTTCTGACTCTTCGATGTGGGTGGCAAGCCATAAGCGGAGCAAATCATCTGAGTCGTGTCCAGCGTCTCCATAACCTCTTGATCTAATGATCCGTAGCGTGCTGCGTCACTGCTGCAGCGGCCCATGCAGTACGATCTCGAGCTATCAAAGCTCGTCTCGCTAACGGTACTAGAAATGCTGTAATTCTGGCGACTGACCTTAGGATCATCCAGAAGCTTCATGTCGACATGCATCTTAGACACGGTCCTAGCTCGGGTTTTGCAGGGCTTGGAAGGCGATAGGATTTCAGAATCCCGACAACTATGACTCTCGTCAGAAGATGAAGATGTGATGAAGGAGGCCGAGTCTAGTTTAGACGAAGAAACGACGTATCCAGATTGGGCCGAGACTTTGAGGATACATTTAGTGCAGAACTTGGCCGTCTCGCCCACCGTGCGCGTCACGATGCAAGACCTGCAGGCTACTTCACCACAACTGCGACAATTGACTTTCTTCGATAGCATGCCAAATTTACTCAAACACACGTGGCAATTCTTACGAGTCGAATGAGGCACAACTTGCCAGTCATTAATCATGGGCAACCTGGCCAACAGCCTTTCCTGCACAAATATCGGCAGTTTGCTTAGGCACGTTGCCACGTTTCCGAGAAAAGAGCTAACGAGCCATCCCGGAAAGTTTTGAGGACGCCGGACGACACCGTCCAAGATAATTTCCGTGTGGCTAGAATTCTCCTTTGGTCTCAACAGCATAATCTCCGTAAAATCTTGTCGTGTAAGTCCGTGCGATTCCTTGAGTGACACGCACTCGTCGCGCTCAATAGCGTGCTTGATCATGAATCCCACCGGAATCCCATCCACGTCTGTGGTCACACCCGTAAACTCGAGAAAGCACATGTCACGCTGGTAGATAGAACTATTGTTGCTTAGGTTAATCGCCTCCCAGCGAATTGAAATGTGTTCTTGCATGTTCGACGCACTTCGTTTCTTTAGCACGCATAGTGTATGCGCATCCAAGCTGTCGTTATAAAGAACTTTGCGACGCTCCACAACCTGCGCTGTCGAGTCGGCTTGTATGACACCCATGAGGTCATTCAATGAGGCCCGCACAGCACCTTGCAGACGATAGTGCACGTCTCTGCTGTTATTGCCGGTTTTGGTGAGCCGCTTGAATCCGGCGTTAGATCCAAGTTGTTTCCACCTGCGGTAGTCGGCGCTGCCCTCTTGACAGTCCAAGCGCGTCTTGTTCAGGGCATCATCCAGTAGCCTCTTTGCCAGCGTAACATATTTGTTTAGTTCGTCTTTAGTCATGCGGACACGACCAAAGTGGCCACGTCGAAGAGGTAAATTCTGCTTTGGTGTCTCATTGCAGCTGGCAATGGCCTGAGCCTCTACGCGACTAAATCCCGTCACGTTCATACTCATCTCGACTTTCGAGTGTTGGGCTAAAAACAAAGCAAAGCTTTTACGACTGATGTAGGAGCTTTCGAGTCTCGCTTCGAGCCAAAAACGCAAACTGAAAACTCAAGTAGAGCGTCATCCAAAGTCAACCCTCGGCACTGATGCACGGAACCAAATGGAGAGGGGATAAGAGAGAATAGGAACCACATGCGATTTGCACTTGCTCTCAGTTGAGCAAAACGCGGTGCATTGTTGCATGTAGAGTACAAATTTCGTTCAGATTGACGACAATGATGACCGGCGTCCCAGCCTTCAGCTGGTACATCGAATCAAGTTGAAGATTTGAAGAAAGGCCACTGTAACGATCGTGTGGTCAAGCAGTCAAATGCTTTCGTTTCTGTCGCTCCATCGTACATGTCCAATATAAATACAGATGTTGAGTTCACTGTAACGTGTTTTCGCATTTGGTGCACGGTCACCATCGAGGCAAAGCGTATCATCTTCGACATACAATTACACGGTCAGCAGCACCCTACAACAGAGTCGCGGTCTATTCTATATTCTATACATAGCGTGCAATGCTGGACTTGCATTGTGAAGTTATATGGATTGATCATGCGTTAATACATATATTGTTACGAGTATTTGTCTGTAAATAACTACCGTTTTTCATGCTAACATGATGGACCCGAGCGTTTTGAGGCGGTGTCTCTTCGCGTAGCTTTGATCTCGACTTTTGATCCATCTGCGCCAATAGCTGAAAGCAACGTTGTTACATCGCGATTCGTAGTTCGTAGCAATGTATGCTTCAGCACGTTGTAACTCGATCATGCCATCTGACAGACACTATGACTCTGTTAATTGTGTAATCAAATACTAACGAATAGTGTTTTGTTGATTCCCTGCATGCGTGACAAGGCTGACAATTTGGACCCCGCAAAGCGGATGCTGTCGTACGAAACTTTACGTTCGCTTACACATGCGAGTAGTGGTTGAGGATTGTGCTTTGCCCGACGAGACTTCATCGGTCGTTTCAACCATGAACCTTTGCCAACGCGCACTGTCAAGTGTCGAATATATGCAGAGGTGTGTGTTTGCACATAACCGTATAGGGTAAACGTTGCAAAGCATGCCTTGCCATCACTCTGTGTCCAGGTGGTAGGATATTGTACACGACGACGAGCCAAGGAAGAGCTTCATATAAAGCCAGATCGCTACACAGTTCAATCTACGTTGCAAGAGACAGCCACAAAGTAGATAATGTAGCAGAGTTCATCCGCCAGATGTGAAGCGAATTTCGTCTTTGTAGTTCCGGTGATTGGAGTAACCCGTATGTGAAATGACAGCCGAAAACCTGCAGTCTCAGCTGACTTGATAGGCACTCAAATGTTTGTCTTGTCTTACCGCTCAAATGACGTTATCTCAACATGATTTTGAGGAGGCTCTGGCGCGTAGGTTGCTTCCTCTACCCTCTGCCCTCGCTTTTCGTTTTGTGACGCACCATTTTGTGCATGGCGTCGAAAATGGCAATGTCAAGAGGTCTTCTGCATTTCAAAACAATTTTACGCTGGTTAGCCGCTATACAACAATATCGTGCCTGTTGTATAAAGGGCTATTCTGTATCACCGACAAGGATTCAAACTTGTCTTCCGTTCTTTGGAGTCTCGCATTCCAAAGCGTACTTTTTGGTTTACACCTGAAAAATGGCTAAACGTCTTCTCTGACCAACCCAAGCACCAGGATTAAGCTCATGGGCCATTGGAACATATGCGTTATCTACTGCGCAATTCTCAATATCATACCAGCATTGCTGACAAACAGAGTGGTCGATAGCAACGTTCGGTCATAACAATGCTGTATCAGCTGCTTTTTTGTCAAAGTTTTCATGACCAGCTATTCATTCCTCAACTCAAGCGCCTTTCGCCATTCTGTCAATTGAGGTGTTGTACGGATTGAAACTGTTTGGTTGCGTGCCAACAGCTAATCTTGCGTTGCCAAACGAGTCTCTATCATGTAAGGCTCGCAATGCTTTTGGGCGCCACTTGGAAACAATTGTTTAAGTTACGGTCAAGAAGCCAAAACCATCCCAGATGTTAGCGATGCATCAGTCACGCAGTGCACAAGACAGACTTGTAAACACTACGAATTTCACGTTACTTGATGGTTTATCAGTCCTGTAAAGTATTGATAATCGTCAGTAATGTGCTTTGTCTTTATTTGCAGCTACCACTTCTACATGTGAACTGTTACATGATATGCACATTGAAGCGATAGTTGTAACTTCTTTCGTCAAGCTGTCCACTAGTGCCTTAATCTCCGCAGTGTGTTGTTGCTCTACTTCATCCTGAACCGATATTTATTTCTTCACTATCATATTAATCTCGTAAGCAAAACATACTCAACTTATGTCGAAATAGCACGGACGTGGTAGTAATTTGTATTCAATACCAATTGATGCACTTCATTTTGTCAAGCAGCAGCACCTGGACCTACAACTTGAAAAGTTGACGACACACCAGAATAAGGAGTCACAGTTCGCCAAAGCAGATGCTTGCAGTCGCCGTTAACTTTGATGCGATATTTTCCGCTAGGAGTGGATTCCGGAATTCTCCACTCAATGGTTACGATGGATCGGAAAGTACCCTGGCGCACCCAACGAAAAGTAGTATTCGTGTCGCCGTCATCCGCGTAAAGTACCCAAATGCCTCCACCATTGCGACTCTTGTCTATCATCCAGCGTTGTACTTCAAGAAATGTACCTTGCGTTCGCAAATTGTTCTTCGGGTGCGCAGCGTGAAAACGTATTTCAACCGTAGATTCCCATCGGTATTCTGCCAATGCATTAGCACCGTCAACAACACTACCGAATGATGCACCGGAGACTACGCCGTCATGAATGACGGGAATATTGTAGTCCAAGATGCCCATTCCCTTGATGCTCGGAGGTGGTAACCCAAACTTGGCAAGCAACTGTTGCCCATGCTCGGTTTTGTGACGTTTGGTCTTGTGATGCTTGGTATTGTCATGCGTGGTATTGTGACGCTTGGTTTTACGACTGCGGTACATACCTTTTGCAAGGATTTCAAACTGCTGGCATGTGGCTACCAGCTGGTTGGGACCAAAATGAGTGGATGCGCCCTCATAACGCTGCACAGCGTACTCTTCTCTTGTAGCCAGGTAGCCACAGTACGCATTGGTAAGTCCAGCAATAACGGGTTCGTGTATTACCTTGTCCCTCGGTGACAACGCTTGAATACAGGCGTAAAGTGATGCTCGAAGACGCCTACCAGCCATTGTCGTCATCTCGAAGGGCACAGCTGCAATATGCAAACACTTGGCAAACCCAAATACTTGAAGCGGCAGAATTTTAGGGGACATTCCGTAGCGTGCTGTCGGAAAAATGATCGGTTTCTCCTTTTGCAGCGATTGGAGTTCCGGCAGAATTGTCACCTTTGGATACATCCCCCATCGAATCCCTTCCTTTACCACTGGCACACCTCGACCGTCAAACTCCGTGCCACTGACCATTGAGAGGCCAATGCACCCAGACGAAGTCGATGTTGGGCACCCAGCATTTAATTGCCAACGTTTCTGAAGCTTAATACTGCAGTAATCGACGTATTCATGAGCAAACTTGATACATCCTGCAATTGGTGGTGTCATCAGTGCTTCAGCATACAACTTCCTTGCACTAACTAGCTGTGCATTTGCGACTGTCACCATTCGCTCATAATCCTTGTGTTGCGTGCACGGATGTCTAGGTCCACAAATATTTGGGCTTACATCTCCTTCATTGCTCTGTGCAAAGGCCGCCACAAATGCTCTCGGCCTGTCCATCAAGTGTTTCGTTCCTTGCTCCCGTTCAAATTCATATGCTGCATATCCCTTATTATCTCCCGTAATCAACGTGTACCAATTGCCCATACTTGTTGGATGGACTGCAAACCAATTAATCATTCCAATAGGATATCCGTCAAGTCCGTCAAACCTCCATAATGTCATGGTCTTGTCCGTATCGTACTCATATTGCGCTCGTTCTTCTTCTGGATTTGATAAATAGGCATCAATGGATCGATTCACAGACGCACCAAGACAAAGTCCCGTAGAAACTCGAATCGTTGCTGGCTGCAAGTTTTTGTAAGCTCGAACAATTGCCTCTACGATTCCAGATACAACACACTCAAAATTCTGTCTATCTGCACCACGTAAAGGTGGATGAACACTGTAGATAAAGTAGTGTGATAATCCACCAGGTGAACAGTGTGTATGTGTAGCACTTAGCATGACATTTTCTCGATTGTACGTGCCTTTTGGTAACTCTGAATGTGTCTCAAGTCTATGCATCACTGTCTGTGTGACCCACTCCGACACCATCCCAAGTTCAGCACATACAAAGACACAGTGTGTATGCGCCTGCGAGTCATAAAAAGCAAATGCGCGAGCTCGTAGACGCATGTGAATACCAAATGTTAATTGACCAATTTTAGCATAACCAAACATTCCTGCTTCAGCAGCAGGTCCTGTGATATCAAACATAGCGGCACCAATGTGAAGACAGGCATTAGTAGGATCGTCTGAAATAGTTATCCTTGTATGTGGTAATGTCATTGTCTTGTTCACAATTATGGATTAAAGAATGATGATAAGATGAAGATGCCACCGTGTATAAGAGTGATGGTGCTTTAAATTGCACCTTGATGTGCTAAAGAAATAATACAAAACTGATCATGTTAATTGTTAGCCTAATAATTTGTATAATCCTAATGGCAGAAGCTAGGATAGCTTGATATTGTAGCTAGTATTTCTATTACAACCAATTAATAAGCGCCTATTGCTGCTTCTGCGGTGCACAACAACACTTCTATCAGATTGATGAGGAAGATATGTATCCATCCTAAAAGTCTCATTTCACTAGTTTCTACACCTCCAACCGATTTGTTATCTCACCCCAAAGAAGCCGGCTGAGCTGTTACCTATTACTTACTGGACTAGAAGCTGCTCTTGGTAGTACAATGCTCCTAAACCAGCAGTTAATGGTAGAAACATGTACTGTGCATGCAACATCCAACAATGCATGAAGAGAGTCAGCGCAAAGCGACATTGGCAGCGTTTATGACGTGCCACTATCACGACAATACAACAAAACCCACTGGATTTTCTACACAATAAACATGCGTTCGGAGTCGATGATGCATGCACCTGAACAATAAGAGTCTCATCTCCAGGCAACATCTCACGCAGACACAATTAGCCTCTATCAGCTGCAATGTCTAGGCAATCAGGAAATAGAATAGCACAAACTTTTGTGATAGGAAGCCACTACTGGCAACTGTCTGTCTCGCCATCAGCCCAGATGAAAGGAATCTTTCCCGCTGGTTTACTCTATTTCTTGCATTTTTTTGTGCCGCCATCTGGTTGCTGCAATCTGTTTCACATGGCTATGATGGGGAGCCACGATGATGATGGACACATCCTTACCGCACACTTGGCATTACTATGAAGTCTTATTATACTCGTGTACAGTAGTGAATCGATTCGTTTCTAACTCGATGGACATTCTATCGACTATTTGCTTTCATTCTGTTTCTTAAACAGTAGTATTTTATTTAGTTTCACAGGTCTTACTGTCTCACCTAGAAAGCCAGTAACTCCTTTGTCATCACTTACTCCAGGTCGTCCATATGCGCAAGTTCTCTCGTACTTCATATACCTGCGGTCAGGAGCAGCCTCAGCACAAGCACAAGCACAAGTACGAGTACTTTCCAACACCCAAGTCGCTCTTGCTGCCACCAGACGCTACCGTCACAGGTCCTAAGCTCGAACCTATCAAGTCGTCTTTCATGGTGGGTCAGTCACCTCATGTTCCGCCGTTTTTAGGCCACAATGAGAGTATTCAGGACTTGATTCGCAGTCGTCGCTCGTCGCAGGACGAGATTCGCGCGTTACTTGCACGCACCACACAGGCACTGGACAAGATTGTGAGCATTCGCGAGTCGATGGAAGATTTTGTGGACTTTAATCAGTTTGATAGGAAGACGCAGCGTCTTTCACGACCGTCGCGCGTTAGCTCCAGTATTGCTGAATTAGGGGAAAACCCAGCCAGGTCTACACCTTCCTCGAGTTATGGCAGTACCGAGGCATCGTCTCTGTCTGAGGACACTCTAGCGATGGACAGGTCAACGAATTCTACGACCAATTCTTCATCGTCGCTCGAGGAAGATGGAGAGCACGACGTGGATAGGGACCGAGAAGATGAGACGAGCAGACACTTGCATTTGAATAGTACGGACTATGATAATGAGCGAGAAGAGGATTTGGAGGCGACAGAGGAAGGAGATATCTTTGATGATGATCACACCAGCAGTTCCATTGTCAGCTCCATCTCGACGGTTGAAGATCTCGCGCCTTTCAAGGAAGCTAGATTGGAACGATTGAGAAGCATAAACATTTCGTTCCATGAGGGTTTACCAAAGGCGTTTTTTCAGTCGTTGTGCCGCTTTCTCAATTCGGCACTCGAGGTCAAGACTCGACATACGAGATTTAATTTCTACAAAGAAGCTTTTACGGGTGGTGACGCTGTTCGCGAGATGCTAATAAGTGGCTTTGCTGAAGACCACCAATCAGCTACAAGATATGGCAATGTTCTTGTAAGACTTGGTTTTATTGAGCATGTATCACGGACGGACGACCAGTTGCACAATTCCAAGGACAATTTTTATAGATTTACTAAGGTGCTGGAATATGACGACACTTTGGAGACTTGTGCTTCGGACACAGCTATGCAGAGACGCACATCCATTAACGCCAACAACTACCGTGAGTCGGTGCTTTTAAACGAGTCGACCGATTTAGTAGACTATGACTTCGCGACCGCTACCGACGAGGTGCATGCGCTTGTGACGGAAGAGACACTGCATGTGTTGGCTAAGGTGCTTCATAAGGTGTTCGAGCGCAAGAACAAATTACTGTTTTACAAAGGCTTCGTTGGGTGCTTTTTGGGTGCTGAGGCTGTGAATGTCATCCGCGAAATGCGCATCGCCATCACACTTATTGACGCTGTGCTGATCGGACAGGCGCTCTTGGATGAAGGTCTGATTGAGCCGATAGCTACGACAGTCTCAACTTTTCAGGACAAGTACGTCTTCTACCGTCTCACCATGATATCATCGTCGTAATTAAGCCAGTCATTTACTCTGCGGAAGCAAAGTAGGGCACATATCCGCCACGTGCAGATAGAAAACAGCACACCTCACACGTTTCACTTCAGTCCACCCAGCTAATATTGCTCGACCCACGTCATAAGTCAGCGTTGAGCACTTGCATATACTGCAAGGAAAAGACGATTTTGTTGTTAGCGCATATTTAATTTTGAACACCATTGCGCACATTCAAAAGCTTGATAATATTTAAACGTTTTGATATTCATGGCTGCTTTTTGGATATCAGCGCAAAAACCATTGAACTAGTGGCATCGAGATTTATTCAAATGCATGACTTTTCATGGGCTTCTCTTCGGTGGGAGTCAAGCCACTCTCGTACAAAATCTTCTCAAGATCGTCGTGATTAACATGAGCAGCATCTTCGAGATCCTGGTCGTGTTTCGCACCAAAATCCTTGCCGCGAGCCTCAGGCCCAATAAGCGTCAGCAGAAACACATAGACATATACAACGCCCAGAAATACGCAGATGACTTTGCCATACTGGTATCGGCTTACCCCGTCCTCACCGTCCGGCAGCGGGAAGTGCTCTCCAAGAGAAGCCTCAATGGTTGACGATGCCGACGATGCCAGATTACCGAGTTGATAGGCCGTACCAACGACAAAAGCACTGTAGGATGGAGGGGACAGCTCCATAAGATGGATTGGAATGACACCCCAAGCACCTTGAACGCAGAACTGCTGAAAGAATGCAGCGGTCATAATAGTCTCATCATTGACGTAGCAGTATGGGTACAAGAGAGCAGCACCAATGGCTGTCATGACGAGGATCGACAAGCGACGACCAAAGACCTGCGAGTAGTAACCCACCACGGTCCCGCCGCAAATGGCGCCTAGGTTGGCTACGACCTGAGTCACGGTGACCTGATTGGGGTTAAACTCTAATTGATTCTCCAGCATTGTCGGGTACAGGTCCTGTGAACCGTGAGACTGTATTCACGAGGAATTAGGATGACCAACATTGACACGAGTACAGCAAAACGAAAATAAAAGAACCTACCATGAAATTAAATCCCGCCATGAGGAGAACCATGTAGCAAAGCAGTAGCCAGTGGCGCTTCAATACAATCTTACCTTCAGTCACAAAAGTCCGGGTCATGTTGTCACTCGCTTCGCGCACACGTTGACGTTCCTGAAACACCTTGGTCTCTGGTAAGAACAGGCGGAATATGATGATGAAGACCGGCGGACAAGCTCCAAACCAAAAGAGTGGACGCCAGCCATGACTCGTGGTATTGACGAGAGCGCGAGCAAATACAACAGCCAACAGGTAGCCGAAAGCGTATCCTTGCTGCATCATGCCAGAAACAATACCGCGAGCTGCCGGAGGACAGTCTTCAAGAGCTGTAGCAGCAACGTTGCCGTACAGGCCACCCATGGCAATTCCAAAGAGCGCACGGATCCACAGAAACTGCGTGTAGGTCTGGCAGAAACCAGTGGCTAGTTCCAGAACGATGAATAAAACGTTGTTCACCACAAAAGGCCACTTGCGACCCCATCGATCAGAAGCGATACCGAAGATAATGGATCCCACGGAGCGCAACATAAGCACAAGTGTAATACCCCACGTAATCTCGGTCTTGGTTTTATCAAAGGTTTCTGCGAGATCTGATAACGTCATGGAGACGGTGAAGAAATCAAAGGCGTCCCAAGACCACGCGACAAAAGCCACTAGAAAATTGAGCCACTGCATACGATTAAGTAATGCCAGTACCTTGAACGGATTATCGGCTTTTTTCATGGGCGGTTTGAGCGTGGTAATTCGTGTTTTGCAATATTCTCCAAATGAAAGCTTTTTATGCTTGTCAACCGTTTCCGAAGTGCATTCTGATCCATTTGGAGTCAATCCCACTTGGTATGCTGTATCTGATGGCATGGTAGTAACAGAGTACTACACAACAACAAGAGGATGATGAAGAAGAAAAAGGGTTAGAAGCAATAAATCTTTCAATGCTTTACTTGTTTCTTTGAGTGCAAAATGGATAATCAAATGAATGATCTCCAAAATCAATGCTGCTAGTTTTTCATGTGTCATTGAATTACCGGCTTTGGAATTAGAAAGAGAGTAGTACACTTGAATCACTTGTGGACGAGCCGGTGCAAATGGTCGGCAGCTGCAATATTGGCTAGAGCATCGACATGACTGATTGATGCCTGCATGCAGAAATAGAGACGCAGGTTTAATTGGTAAAGATGGGGACAAAATAGCGCTTAACAGGTTTACAAAACCAGACAGATCAGTTTCGAGTTATGTAAATGGATGGCAAGAGACGATTACGGCTTAGTACGTTTTTTGTTACTAAAATTGGCCTGGAGTTTGCGGATACTTAATGTATTTAGAAATGTATACTTTACCGCAGAATTACGAAGATAAGTCAAAAGACAATGAAGACGCTGGTCATAAAACAGATAACATTTAAAACGAGTGGTTACTTGTCTTGCTAAAGGTTGTTAAGCTTAGTGTCTGTACCTTACGAAGATTGAACCTAAATGTAGTGCTGCTATATTTATTTCTGACCACCTTGAGCTTACGAAGCTTAGTACTACTTTGATGCGATAGTAAAAACAGCAACGATTTCAGTAGAACAGGATAACCTGCTAGTCGATATATTGTTGCATGACTTACTTGTGCACACAAGGCTAGGATATGCTATCGTCACTCTAGTCATCCTCAAGATGTCAGCGTTTGGCCACAGCTTTAAAAAGATTGCCCTTGGTGCGTACTTAATCACAACTTCGACTACGACAGAATCAGTTGTTAGTATAACTTCAAACACAAGCATATGCTGTAACCCATGACAACTTACTCTCGTGGGCGCTGCCGAGTCACACCAATCCTTGTGTCGTCAAGTCTGCAGTGCCCAAGTCGATACGTTCTTGACGCGCTAAGAGTGCCGCTTATATACACCTTCGCAAGTTTGCAGTTCTGCCAAGGATGTGATTAAGTGAATTGCCGTCTACGTTGTATCTTGAAAGCGTGAATCCCATGGCGAAGGTGCTATGACTTCATGAATAAGAAGAAGCGGTGAATTCGTTCTTCACATGTGCGAGGACGGTGGTAACGTTGGCGACTTGCTGACACGTATAGATGTCCCGATTCCTGATCGAAACAGCCTAAAGTTTGCAGCACTTTATTCCAAGAATGTCCGCAAGGTGAGCTTTCTTAGTTTATGCATGTTGTAACGCAACAGAATTCATCCCACATGATGGTGTTCTGCTTCATGTGGGTCCAAACTGATTGCATAAGCAAGCAGTTGCTGCGTGGAGGCAGAACGGATTTTGACCGATCTGAAGCCACACGAGAGACTTCTAATATGAAGCTTCGCAATTCACGCATCTGTCAAGCTTGCTATCATATACATGATTCTTATAGTGATGATTGCGTAGTGGTGTTGGCGCAGATCGACAAATGAACCGTGACTATTATTCAGACGCTGTAATCCTTTGTACAAGCTCCAAGTTGCTGAAAAGCTCAAGGATGGACCAAAGTTCTATTTTCTGCACAATATGGACTTTTGCGGTCGCGTGTACCCGATTCCACCGATGGGCTCCGATCTCTCACGTAGTTTGATTTCTACGCGATCGTAAGTCTTTGAGTGAGCATGGAATGCGGTAGATGAAGATTCGTTAGGCCAATGTATTTTTTCAGTATGGACAGGTGCTCACTTGATAAGCGTGTGGAATTTGCAGATGCCCATTCAAGGCCGTAGCATCAGTGCAATCCGCTTGGCGATGGCGATGGCCATTGCGCTTGGTGGAAGGTCTATAGCTGGTACTGTGGCGTGTGCGTTGAGCTTAAGCGCGCAATTGCGTCTCCCGATCCGCGGCAGATGATCATCGGTCACAAAAAATTCGGCCTTTTCGCGCAAATTTCATTCGCTCGACTCCTGCTGACGGCACGTCGTTGTCTGGAGGAGGATAACATTGTATTTGCAGCCGGGCATGACAGTTAGTGAACGCACGCGTGCTCCGTAGACATCATGAGTTGCCGAATGCGCAAGGAATATGAACAAACCCTGTAAGAGGATTTGCTAACGGAATTACAAGACTTTGATTTTCGATGACGAGCCTCAGCTACGTGACCTGAATCTGCGCCATGTGCTAGACAGTTCGTACTTTTTAAATAAGGCATGATGTGGTCAAGAATTCATTTTGAATGACGTTAGTGTAACAAAGTTCCGTGAATGCTGTGTATGACCATCAAGTTGTGAGCTGTCGTCTACTTCTTCTGGTCAACCATCAGCAAAGTTATGATTTTGATTATTTCAATTGCTTACCCATTGCCTTTGTGGAAGCATCCGTTCGATTTAACTGACCGAGAAACGGTAACATTTTGTACGAGAGCAGGTTAAGTTTTTGACCTGCTCTCGTACAAAAATGCCACCGTAGCTCAAAGTGTCGTGTACGCTTCAAATAGGTTGGGTTCACGGCCGTATATAAGCATTTAAGTAAGCAATCTTGACATTCACACCATAGACTTTCAGACTAAGGTTTGCAGACAATGCCAGCAGTAACCGAAAGCTTGACATCCGTGGAGCCAAGTCAATGCCGGGCCGTTTCTAATTTCCAAGTGCAACCAAGCGAGCCTTAACACGTTTAACATATTCAAATTGATCTGCCTTCACACATTGTACGAATAGCTTTTGCATCACTTGGCAAATCCGCTGTTAATATTCCTTCCGTACTTTTTTTCTTTTCAAGCACCACGCTTGATTTTCTCCCTTCGTACTTCCATCTCCGCTAGTTGTGCGGCATACCATTCATCACAATCTTGGAACGAGACGCGCCACTGCTATTCTTCGGCATCTTAGCGTCAGCATCCTTCATTGAGTTCTATCAGTATGCGCGCGCAAGTAGCGTACGCGGTGTAGTCCTCACAACGCTTCGGTTTGTGCCGCATAGAAGCGTCTTGAAGACCTTTCCGCTTCGATCGTTATGCCTTCATCAGTGGATTTACCGTTGCCGCATTCTTTTGCGTTAAAAGTTTTGCCGTGATATTTCGAAAACCCGTTCATTATCTTGAGTATGCAGTGAATTGAGTACCATTGCGCTTGGCTGGAATATCAAATACGCGTACTCTACTTGATTTGGTGCAGAGATCTTACGATCCTTCTTCTAGCGTTGTCTGCGACTAACGTGACGGACCAGCGGTTCGGAGTCACAAAGATGACTAAAATGACCTTAAGCCGCTGGTTATCACGTTAGTAGACAGTACTTGATGGCATGTTTCGCATCCGTAGTGACATTCAATGTAAGCGCCATTTGCGAACGCCATTCGTAATACCTCACAAAGCTTGTATTTAATCACTACTACGAATTTCTATAAACAACAGTACGAAAATAGAATAGACAATACTATTAGTGTAAGGATCACTAGCAACAAGCTTTAATAGTAGTACAAATCAAGTGAAACAATGCTAAGATGTATGACATGAAGTCAAGCTAAAAACGAGGTATGAAACAAGACCATCTTTTTATTGCAAATTCGTTAGTGGGGTGAATACAAAAATTATACTACCAAACCATGTGTACCGGCTCACATCAACGGTTCATACTCGACATAATGGCTGAAGTGTGGCTACGCGAGAGGGATGAACGACGACTAATCTCACGTATTCACTTGGCCAGGGTTGTAGGTTGGTTTTGGTGGGTCAAATGGCTACGAAGCTCTTCTTACGTAAATAATTAGACTCAGAATACATCTTGGAGTAAGGATCAGGATCAGCGGCACCAAAACGTATATCGTGAGAATCATACAAATGCATTAGCTTGGCCACAAATAGTAGCTGCAACCACGAACACGAGAATAGAGTTGAAACGCATCCTGGTTACCCTGTTCTGTCAAATACGAGCGATGAGAAGTTGATGGTTGTGCTCTTGGCTTGATTTGAAAGAAGCAAATTGTTAGAATAAGAAATGTGAGGATGTAGTTGGTGGAACCAGTTTGCGTTATTTTTTTTTAATTTTTACCAGAAGCTTGCATCAGTCCACAAAAAATAAACAAAAAATAACGTATATGTCCTTCCCAAATATTTGGGTCATTCGACGAACGTCTGCCCTTCCGCAACTAACATGTGTTCTCAACCAAAGATTCGACACCCACAAAATGCATATTGAAATGGAGGCTAAAACCAAAATGAATGATTTGTATATGAACGCGTGCGTGCCAGACGCGTTTTGGCGCCCATTGGGACATCGTCAGCGGCTTATCGATTTGGACGTGCGAACTATCCAAACCTCTAGGCCCTACTTTACAATAAATAGAAGACTATAGTCTTTCTTATAACCCTAGCATGGCTTTGTTGTCGAAGCTCTGCAACTTGCGCTACCAACAAGTATACATAATAAGGACCCAAATTATTTCTGAAAGCTGGTTGGCTAGTGCAATGATAATCCATCCTACCTGAGCTCTTTCAGGGCGTGGCTATATCCTAGAGAATAATACAGGAAACGCTAGTAAATCCACGGCGCTTGGTTACTTTAGTTGCAGTGCCCTTCGAGCAATCAAGTGAGCTGATGTAGTTGTAGAAAGCATGGTCTTTTGTCATTTCCAGATCAACGAACAATGTATTATTTATCTATAGTCAGGTACGTTAGCATATAACTACTGCATCATAAATATGCCATCAATGCTACCCGCGCTGTAACGGGGTTACACGAAGGTGTGTATTTTACATACACATCTGCCACACCAATGTGGTGTGGCTGTTCCTTGGGTACAAAAGTAGGTGATGTGACCGTAGCTGAAGGACGAAGTATCGCATCGTGTCAGAGAGCCACGTGGTCACTATACTCATTTAAAGTTTAGTGACTATGCACATTTACATAACCATAAAAGGCTAAAGAGCCAGTAAATAGTGACTAGCACTAAGTATA